TAGGGATTACTGGATCTGGCCTTTGTTTAGAAAGGAGATCTTTATGACCTGTTTCTTTAAGTAAATCATACAATGATAATTCACTAAAAGAAACAATAGGAACAGGAACTTTCCAGTTTCTAGTTCACTGTTTTGGACCATGATCATCATCATGATGATGATGATGACTATAATTCTTGTGGGAACAAAGAGATGCATTCTTCTCCTTTTTCTTCTTTACAACATATCTGATGGGATAAGACTATCCACCTTCATCTTCATCGTTTGATACTTTCCACCAATAAGGCGTATTACATTCACAATCAAGATCACATTCTTTTGGTGTATGATCCCAGATAAAATGACTATTTATGTAAGACACATAACATGGTTTAGTATTTTGATCTGCCCAAGCAATTAGAGGATCTCACTTGGATGGAATATAGGCAATAATGATTAACAAAATATGTCCAGAAGAAATAGAAGGATCTTCTTGGCCTGGCTTTGAGAAGACAGTTTTGATTGTGTCGTTTGGAAGCCTTTTTATGTCTGAAGGTGTAGAAGTGTGGACATCCATTTGAATACCATGAAATTGCCTTTTATAATTAGTGATCCATTCAAAAGGCATCAACTGAGCAAGTTCTTCTTTAGGGATCTGTGGGAAATTTAGATGATGGAAGTATCATCAGCTCTATCAGAGACCACATAAAGAGCATCTTTAGTGGAATTTGGAAAATGAAGATCAAGAGAATGATTCTGGAGCCAGTAGATAATCTGATGATGAAGAGTTGCTGCGATAGCTCTAGGGTCTTGATCTGCTCCAACTATCTGGACCTGGACCTTTAATCTTTTCTTCAAAGTTGGATATGAGAGTTTTATGTTGAAATCAGAGGCCATGGTAAGGATGACACTACTGTTGCTAAGAGTGGTTAAAGGAGCATTACTATAAGAAGTATAGATAGTATCAACTAAAGCAACTTTAGTAGTGGTTGAAATCTCTTCTCTCCCATAAAGTGTAAGAATGAGATGTACAGCACCAATATGGAGATGAGTATAACTTTAAGACTTCCATTCATCAATTAAAGGTTGGACTATGTCAATAGTAACATATTGTTCAGAAGAGATGGCATAAAAACCATAGTTTTCTATGCTAGTAGTTTGGACAACTTCTTTTACATGGAGCCGTTTGGTGGAAATCAGATTTCTAACATTTGTGAAGACACAATTGATACGATGATAGAGGCTATAAGGACTGAGAAGAGGTAGATCTGTTTTCTGAATTTTAGCATTTTCAGGAAGATAATCTATCTCAACAAGATCTTTAATCCTTTTAGAAAGAGATTTACAAACAGATGGGGGAGTTTTTGAGGGGTAAAGGAGGAAGAAAGTCAAACAGGTTCATGGTTGTTTGAGATATCACTCATGGCTTAATAAATTCTTCTTACTTACTATCACAAAAATATCTCACTTTTGTCACAATTGTGCTGGCTCTGATACCACTTCTGGAGTGTTAGCTAAAACAAACCAAGCTAACATAGTCTGATATTCAAAACTTTAGTTCAGGTAAAACCACTCATATTCAACTCATCAACAGGCCACATTAGAACTCTCATATTTGAATACCAAATCTGGAATAATTGAAAAAGTCATCACAAAACACACATTAATATATGGTGGTCAGATTCTATTTCTGATGAGTATGATGCTTTTTTTTAAAATATTTTAATTGGTAAAATTTGCCATTTTACACTAAAATATTAGTAGGTTAACCAGCTCCTTAAATTATGTAGTAGATAGTATATAAAATAACAGAAAACAAAGTGCTACCTAACATGAATCATACCATTCACCAAACCTTCGTGCAAACAAGGCAAAAGCACCCCTGTGAAGGTGACATCCACGTGGTTATCCTTGGAATCCAAAATTTTTAATCTTTCATTTTTCTTCGTAACTCATGTATTCATATATTCTTTGGCCACTGAATTCCAAGAACTATTTTTGCATTAATTTTTGTTATAAAATGGCTATATTGGCCACGCTGACCCAAGAAATATTAGGAAGAAGATGATCTTGAGATCAATAACTACCTTCCTTTAACAAAAAAACTCTTTAGTTATACTACCAGTTTTTAATGTAAGAGTTAGATAATTAATTTAAAAATATTTAAAAATTTAATTAAGTTAATTATTTGTCACAAATATGTTTTGACTTTCCTAAATTATCATATTTAATCATGTGCATTGAAATTTGAAATACTACTTGATGAAACCCCTTACAATCAATAGAAATATTTCTGCAAAAAAGAGGAGACAAAGTTAATTGAGGTTTCATAATACTTCCAGTTCTAAATATAAAATCTAATTTGTAATATAACAACAAAAAGCTTAAGCAGCAGCAACTAACATTTGCAAAAGTTAAATTTGTGTTTCAAGTGTTATTGGGTTAGCAATGATTTGAAAATCCATAACTAATGTTCTTTTTGTAGAGTCATACATGATAATCAATATTACTAGATTAAATTTGAATATTATCGAGTAGGCTTAAATTTAAAACTTCATGCTTAAACAATCATAACCTCTTTAAATAAACACCTATTATTGCTAACATGGTACTCTCTCTTCGGTCCTTATTATAAGCTTGAAACAATTAATTCGCATATAACAAATAATTAGTTAAAATTATTTAAAAGTAATAATAGGTTAAAATATACTTTTATTTCCAAATATATCCTTATAATAAATGAGAAAAAGGATGAAAAATGTGTAAAAAAATGTGATAACAGAGAGTATAGCGGAGGAAAAATAAATAAATAATCAAGAACAAAATTGAAAAAACTGTATTAAATGTTAAGATAAACCTAAATTGAAACTCATAAAATGCATAAATAGAAGGAAGTATTATACATGTTTTGTGTTAGATTCAATAAGAACAAATCATAATTTTATCTATTTCAATATATGTGTATATATTCATGAAATATATATTTCGTACACATAATAGTTTTACCCATCTTTAAAAATTTATATAATATAATTATAAGGGAAAATTTTGCAAAAATACCGCTTCAATTCTAAAATTCGATGCACATCACTTTGATAAATAAAAAGACATATGCACATTAGTCAGTCAGTAGGAATATGAAATTTAAATATTTAGCTAAATGACAAATTATCCCTGAGAGTTTGTAAAAAAAGGGGAAGAGGCGCATTTCCTACGCTTATATCGATGTTAACAGCACATCCAACCATTTTCAAAACTTTGATCATGCTATTTACAATTGTTTTCATTCATTTCAAAACATAAGAAGAATTCAATAAGGAGATCATTATTGAAGCCGTTTCCTATACTTGCAATGATATTAACAACACCTTCAATCATTTTTACAATGTCAAAAATGTCATTAGCAACTATTTTTTTCACAACTTCCACTAGAGGTTCATTATTTGAGGCAAACCTACTCATACATTGCATCAGTTCCATACCATGAAAAAACAAGGCTCATGTTGTCAATACCATTGTAAGTATAAGAAACTGCTTAAATAATCAACTCCGTTGTATGAATTACCAAGTTTAATTTGAAAATTACAAAAAAAAAAGTTGTAAATTGCATTAACTAAATTGTGAAAATGGGTAAAAACCGTGTTAACATTGTTATAAGTATAGGAAACAGATTGGATAATGTAAAAGAATGAGTTGTTTATGACATTATCCGAGTTGTGAAAATTGCTAAAGGCGTTAAACTGTCAAGGTTAATTTCCTCTTTTAGCCAAATATTAAACTCTCATATTTCTTTTATCTGGCCAATGTGTTCTTTTGTCTACTAGAGTGATCTTTTTGACATTTCAAAATTGAAATGATATTTTTGTAAGATTTTCCATAATTATAATAGATATTACTAAAAAAATACCACAACGAAACAAGGCTCGAGGCATGCCCTCCAGATCCAATGAAAACGCTGCTGCCATGTAACATGCCTTTCGCTGTTCTGTTTCTCCCCACTTTTTGTGTTCAAAAATGCAGACAGGCTGGTCATAGTTGCATTATTCGGCACGCAAATAAATATTAATTTAAAATAATGTTGGCAACTGAAAATTCCGAGAATATTCGGTACGCGGGGCATTAATCAATTTCCATGCCACTTTTGCCTCAAAATGGGCCCACCAAGTTAGCCCAAAAAATCGTGGGCGGCACATTTCCCACTTTGGGCGGCGGCGCCTGCACATTGCTGAGTTGTTGTGTACTTTTTGAAAAACTTTTCTTTGTTTTAAACTTTAAAGTGCATATTATTTAAGTATTTAATAATAATACTTTATGTTAGTTAAATTAAAAAAATCTCTTTATTTGAATACTACCTCCGGTTCTTAATATAGGACCTCGTTTAATTTTTATTTTAATCCTAAATATAAGACCCTAATCTATTTTGTCTCTAATATTTGTGTATTTTTCTAAGATAATCCTTCTAACAATAGTAGTTATAGCCAATACATTTAATTAGTAAGGATATTTTAAGAAAGACAACACCTATTTATAATAAATAACTAACTTAACTCCTTTCCTTAATGTTCTTAAATTAGTCAACTGGCTGTTATAATTAGAAGCGGAGGTAGTATTATTCTTCCTTTAATGATCATGTTTATAAAAAGATTTGGCAATAGAACAACTTTTTTTTTTCCCTTGAAATACTTGTTTTAAATAGCGATTGTAACATTAAAAGATAACTTTTCCATTGTCATATGTAAAATATGAGAGAAATATATAATGGAGTTTCGATTTACTTATAAATATTTAATAAAAGCGATTCCAAACAAGTTTGTGTTGCACTATTCCTTTTTTTTTTAATAACTTTTTCTTGTAAAAATTATTCAATTTGTATTATTTTTAATGATACTCTAAAATAATATAAAAGTAATAATTTTTCAGCATTGTTGACTGCGCTAATTAATTATCATTGACCCCATGGTATGGGCATGGGCAGATTCACAATTTGCGGCCACATTTATATTTAACCTGCTCCTGTTTTCTTCAGTTTGCTTCCTCCGCCTCCGTCTGCCTTTCTTCTTCTCTCTTCTCTTTCGGCGCTGCTCTGTTCTCTCAACCATGGGTGGTGGTTCTAAGTGGATCAGGCCTGAGGTATTTCTTCCTTCCTTTCTTTTCTTCATGTAATCCTGGTTTTCCTTGAATTGATGGAAATATCAACACCATTATCAATTTCAAGTTATTGCTATTGCAACTCCATAGATCTATTATGAACAATTGTAGTGAGATCTGATCTTCCCTGTCGTTGTTGTTCTTGAGGATAGATGTTTTGGTTCGAATACCAATCTAAGACTATCCCGTAATTTCGCTTCTTCCTCATCTTTTTTTTTTTTTTTTTTCCAGTCGAGAACTTTTTTCTGATTGTTCACGAAGCAGGTGGCTGATACTTATTGATCTGATTTACTGAAACAAGAAGCGAACTGACAGATCTACTATTCTATTGTTGCTTGTTAATATAATATTACGAGTTACCTCCTGAGATTTTTATATGCGTCTAAATATATCATGTTTCTTTCATTGTGAATAGGTCTGGCCTCTTTTTGCTGCAGTTGGTGTCGCTGTTGGGATCTGCGGTATGCAACTGGTTAGAAATATCACCACCAATCCTGAAGTCAGGTATTGATCTATCAGCCTTGAGGTTTCGATTCGATTGCTTATAATTTATTATATTTTAGGTCCGATACGTTTCTTGTCACTATTTAATCAATCATGAGATCCTCTACAAGCTACCTGTTACCGTGTGCTTTAGAATTGTGTGATACCTTTTGGATCTATGCCCAGATTGTGTATAAAAACCTTGCTTCGGCTCTATTTCCTGGTATAGAATGCAGAGAATGGGTCTATTCTAAATTGAATAGGATTGCAACGGAGTTTTGTGGGCAGAATACCAGCGAAAATAGAAAGGGAAATAAATTTTTGGAGCAATTGTGGAGTTGTTTGCCCCTAATAAGAAGTATTGTTGAATTTCAACGAATTTGATTTCAGGGTAACCAAAGAGAACAGAGCTGCAGGAGTGCTTGATAACTTCTCAGAGGGTGAGAAATACGCAGATCATGGCCTGAGGAAGTTTGTCCGCAGCAGGGCCCCTGAGATCATGCCATCCATCAACAAGTTCTTCTCTGATCCAAACTAATACACTTCCCAAAAACTTTCCCTCCAGCCTACACAATTGACATGGAGACTAGTTTTTGGTTTTTTTGATTTAGTGAATTGAGGAAAAGGACCATTCAATTATTGCTTATGGTTATTCTTCTACAGATGAAATACATGAGGGTTGAGTTGTGCAATTTGCATCTTGGCACCACACAACTGATTTGTTGAATAATAAATTGACGTACTTTGCATTGGCAAATGTCTTCCATGAACACTCAGATGTTGCTTCTTCTTCTTTCCCCCCACCCCCGGGCCAACCTTTGATGTTTCTTTGGGATGTCTGCTTGTTTTACTGTTTGTACAAATTTAAATTTACAGCTTTTGTTGCCTTTAGCTTGGTACGTGGAAGATTTAACATTGAACTTTAGCAGGACAAAAAAGAACATTGGTGATACTAATGAGCAGTGCCATTTCAGGCAATCAATTTTGAGGTTTTCGCCTGTCTGTAAGTGTCACGACCGAGCTCAAAGGTGTTAAATTTTGAAATACCAGTCATTATTTTCTTCAATGCACATTAATTGCATCCCTAACAATAACCTTTTTTTCCATTAATCTTTATTTCTTTTTAGCCAACTGAGTCAGTGGCATTTTCTGTATTTCAGTAGTCATAATTTGGACCTAAAATTTTTATGCTACAAAATAAACATCAAAACCTTTGAAGTGAATCAAGTTTGAGTCAATCTCAAGCTGTACAGTTCAAGTTATGCTTTTGGCAGACAGTCTTCATTTGCAGAATTCCGCACCGAGAGGATCATAATCCGCAGATTTTTACTTTTTAACATGCCCAAAATTAGTGCTTTTTTTTTTCATCTGGGATGGGCGGTTTTTTTTTTGGGGGGGGGGGGGAGGAGGTGTAGTTGAAAAGCAGGCTGATGTTAGTTGGGGCATTAGACATGTTCTTGTCAATTTTTTTGTCATTACTAAGCAAATTTGGAGTTATCAATGATAAGGATGATTCTTTTATAGGGTTGACTTTAAGGGCCTATTTGGTATGAGAAAAATGAAGAGAAAGAGAAATTTTAACAAGTTTGATATAAAAAGTTAGAGAAATAGGATTTTTGTTTTTATAAGAGGATAATTTCATTAAAAAGTAAAAAAAATATTCCTATGGTCTTTAATGTAAGGCCTAATTAATTAATTTAAGTAGATTAATGATATTAATTAAATTATTTAATATAATATTTTTTCTCTAAAACATCCTAACTATAACACCTCATGAAAAATTCTCACAAGCATAACAATTATTCAAAGCAGAACTATGATATAAAGGAAACAAGGTAACATTACCCATGACCTATATATTGTGATTATAAAAGTTCCTCTTACCTCAAAATGCATAACCATGCTAGAAAAAGAACTGATTTACTGATATAGTTTTAAGGAGCTTGCATTGTACCTGATGGACACAATTATGATAGCGAAAAGAATAAATACGGGAGAAAAACAAGTCAATAAAACTGAATCCGCTTATTCACTATATACCATGTTGCCAATTATAATGTGGATTTGGCCCTAAGTCATGCTACTCAACAAAAATCCAATTAAAACAAAAAATGCAACCAAATTCTAAATGACAAGCAAAATCAACAACTTCCACAAAATGATGAATGCCAATAAACAAAAGTCAACATAAACGGAAAGATGTGTGAGGTAGGATCACTTTGCCACGTGGCCTCCAAGCTCTAGTTTCAGGTTTCTTTCCCATCACAACTCCCCTACTACTCTTACTTGTAAAAGGTAAGAGCGTGAGACACAATGTCCCAATAACAAGAACTCCTACTCATCATGCCCACAAGCACTGCTAAGAGATACCCAGATGGGATTAACAATTAAAGAAATTATCAATTATAATCATGTTTCCCAACAAATTACAGATATCATATTATAAGGAATAATAAGCAATAAAAGGTAATTAGCCAATAAGTTATAATCATAAACCACCGTTTAATAGTTAAGTTCAATTCCTGCATTATATTCTCTTTATATCTATTGACTTGAATCCATAGGTTGAGTCCTGTCGTGTGACTAATGACTCTAATGAGTTTCTCTCAAGTGTGATATAGACTGGTCAAAGTCAATAGAGCACACACAGGCCATTGATTCTTCCAGAAAAAAATATGTTGCCCCAATGTATTGCCGAGTATCCTAGCGGGTATGTTGCTCTTAGGGTATACTGCCTCAGGATACTCTCATAGAGTGTTGCAAATGTGGGTGTACTACCCTTTCCAAAGTGCCAACAATAGTGCGCTCTATAGAGGCAAATCACGTGATGATACAATACAGCTCTGTCACAATATCTCCTTATCAAGTACAAGGTTCACATACGATTATCTTACATCTCAGTTTCTTAACAGATAATACAAGTATTTAATCACATATGAGGATCAATTCACACAATGCTATATTACCATAGTCATCTCAAGCATACATATTATGTGTGCATACGGATTGAGAATAAACTAAAATACAAACCTGATAAAATCGTTAAAAACATAGAGCCAAACCAAAAATCAAATTTTAGCGCTTCTATCAAGTCCTAGAATTTCAAAAAAAAAAAAAAAAATTTCCAACAACCAACCGTATAGAATTAAACCCTAGATAGACCTAGTAATTCAGGAAGCTCCGTATTTAATTTCTTTAATCCAGGTCATTCAAAAATCTATCCTAAATGCTACTCTTTTAATTAAAAGCCCTCTTAGAGGAACTAGCAGGAGAGATGGATAAATATTCATGTTAACTAGATGCTAAGAGTAGCTACTAACATTCCCAAATCGTCCTTGAAACGTTCCTTGAGTGTTTTAAACAACCTTAAGATAGACATAGAACTGAATTAAGAGACTGCTAAGGATTAGCCACAAGGTATCTAAAACCCCAACTAGGTGAGTAGGAAAAAAAAAAGAGAAAAATAATAGAAATCGAAAGACTAGAGTTGCTTATCGTCACCAGCAGAGTTCTCTGAATTTCAAAATGTTGCTATGGGTTTGCCTTAGCAAAAAAAACGCTCATTTTAAAAAAAAAAAAACCCAGGTCCGTACCTAAAATTTTGAGGGTTCACCGTGATGACCTCACTTTAATGAGGCGTCACATTTTAGGCGTTCACCGCAGCGTCCTTACTCTTCACCACAACTATCTTTCCTAAAAAGCAGATGTTGCACTAATCATTTTTTTTAATTCTCTTCTTCCTTCTTCTACATAATTATTATTAAGAAAATATCAATATGGTAATTTTAGAAAAAAATTAATAAATATATGAAATAATTTTTACATATAAAACTAATATTAACTATCAAATTAGGTTCTATATTAAGGACCAGATGAATACATTAAAAGGCCAACCTATTACAGAGAGCCCACATGAGCAAAGCCCAAATAGATCCAGAAAAAAGGCCGGCCTCATAGGAAAATAAAAATAGCCACTGAAAACAAAAAAGAAACACAAACTAGCCCATCTTCAACAACCATCGAAGCAGCGGACAAACCAATGACATCCACAACGTTGAGCATAGTGAAACCAACTCAAGCTTGAAATGCCTTGGGGAGAAGCTGATTTAAACCTCGCTCTTGAAAAATGAAACGGAAACAACTAGAGAAGCGGGGTTATAAAATTTTAATTAAAAAAAAGATTAAAAAGTAAAAAAAGAAAATTAACTAAAAGCTTTTAACTTCATTTTTTTTAATTTTTCAAATCCAACTCGTTAAAGTTTTTTTCTTCCTTCTCTTCCCTCCATTTTGCTCATACCAAATATAAGCTAAAAGTAAAATATGCTGATCTCAGTGGAGAACAAAGAGTAGTGTGACCAATAATTTGAAATGGAGAATCTGGTTTGGTTGTAGCATTTCAGTCCAATCAAGAGCTCACGTGGTCAACTCTGTTTTTTTTAATGGAATAGGTACAATGTTCATATACAATCTACCATTAGGAACAAGTTATGGGGCTGAGTCTATTTTATAAATCACTTTTTAAAAACTGTTTTCATGACAAAGCAAAAAAAAAAAAAATTCTTTGATTAGGTTAATTTGAAAACAATCTTAGATAAAAAAAAATCCCCTGATAATAGTGATTGGTAATGGTTAATAATGGGGTGGCTTATGATGGTGGTGAATTACAGTTAATGGGAGTTCTCAGCCAAGGTAAGTATACCTTTGCTGCTGGGTGATTTTCGTCTATAATTATATATATTTTAGGGATTCTTGTGATGATATTTGGATGTATTTGTGGTAGTTATTATAAAATATAACAAAAGCAACTATATGTAATTAATAAAAAAAAAAGAGCTTCATGTTTTTATAATTTCTCTTGATTTAATTGATCTGCATGAAGGTATTCCTGGTCTTGGACTGTTATTTAAGTATTTTATGCACTCATTATATTTAATTAAAAGGAGATTTAAAAATAATACTTAAATATCTCATTAGAAATCAAATATCTCGTCTTTAATTATTTTATGGCTAATCAAATCAAGAAGATATTTCTTCTTCACTAAATTATATTATCTTCTTAAAGAGAATTAAAATAGTTCCTTTCCTTAACTAATTAATTATATTATAGTAGTGCGAAAACTAGTACAAGCAAATCTTCCGTTAACAGTTACATGGAGATTTTTAGTATAATAGGTGGCGTAGTCAGAAATCCTAACAGAATTCCTACGGGTGGCACTAATGATTGCCGTGGCAATAATAAGATTCCAGTACTAAAGAAATGGGTGATCAAAATGGAGATATTAGAAATAATATATAGAAATAGAGGTTGAAGTATTAGAGAAATTTTCAAAATAAAGTCAAATACAAAAGGAAAAATTGGTTAAAAATCCTATTTGACAAATTAATTGGGAAACAGGATCTAAACTAATGTAAAAGTGTGGGGTTCTTAATCCTTATTTGCATGTGATAGATGCTCACTTGTACATGATGGAGACATATTTGTATATGTAATTAGCATTCATATTACGCAATAACATGAAGTACTAACCCATATGGAAATAGGCATCCATGATATGTAATTAGCATCCGTATTACATGATAAACCCAATTACAAACAGGCATTCATCATATGCAAGTAAAAATCCGCCAGTGTAATGTGATCATTTTTCTATTGTACTTACTAAAGATCTCACGTCTTTACATTATTTCAGCTCCCACGCTTCAATTAATATTGCAGATTTTAAACCAATTTTCCCACGCAAAATTTATTTACCTTTCTTAATATAAAGTTGT